CCCCAAAACCCCAAAACCCCAAAACCCCAAAACCCCTAAGTATTTTATAAATCATATTCAGAAAATGGAGGAAAAGTATCAACCCATCCTCAGCACTTCGGCTGAGGAACAAATTAAGAGGAGAATTCGAGAGCTTGATAGCTCACTTACAGATGAACTGACTGAGTTCCCACAGGTACTTAAAAATGAATTTGGAGAAAACTCACTCGAATCCATAAAATATCCAAACCTTCATATTGTGAATGAGCTTGACTCTAAAGTCAGGAATGTTTACGAAGAAGCTCAAAAAAGTGCAAGGCATTGCGAGAAAATGTGTAAAGCCATTCAGAAGGATATGAAAAAGAAGACTCAGATTGAGAAAATGATCAAACTTGCAGAGTACATCAAAACGATCAAAGAATTAGAAGAAATCTTTGACCAAGGAGACTTTCTTAATGACCTTGATGCTCTTGGAAGAGATAATTCGGATCCCTTAAATGCTCAGATCGAAGAAATGGATAAAATTGATAGCTTTAGGAAGATTAGAGAGATTGAAATAGAGGAAAAAGACCTACTACAAGAGACAAATCTGTTCAAAAGTTACAACCTTGAGCAAAAAGGATGCTCAATTCTGGAGGATAAAGCATCTGAACGATTCAAGTCAAAATTTGATTATTACAGATCGTCATATGGTGTAAAAAGGATAGCAATTAATAGTGCATGGATATCTCTCATAAAATTCTACATGAATGAGTTTTGAATTACAGGAACAAAAATTTCAAAATGCTTCTCTCTTGAATCTTGAACTAAGTTTAAAGGCTACCTTCTCAACTCAATATCAGAGTACGAATCAATAGTCCTCGAGGACTATAAGCAAGATAGTAAAATTCAACAAATGATGATTTACAGTAATAGTGAAAACATAGCAGATGAGAAGCTCAAATCTCTTGATCTTCTCTGAGAAGATATATGCTCAATCAGTCACTACTCTCAAACCTTTATGTTTGTTCTGCATTTCTGAGGAACTTTACATGCCAATAATAGGCAAACCAAGGATGTAAGAGCTCATGCAGTGGATACAATAGAGTATACAAAGAAGGGAGAAGACAAGCATAGTCTAATTATCCAAGAAATTATTGGATATTACATCACTTTCGAAAAGCCTCTTCTCCAAAATATGCTACGCAAGGTGCTTGAAGAAGATGATAAGACCATTATTCATGACATCAAGAGTAAGTATGACAAAGAGAAGATCATCCAAAGAGATCTTCCTGATGAGGTCTTCTTTGTTTATCAGAAATGAGCCATCCGGGCTATTTATACTCTGAATATGAGCACTGCTTGAGCTATTGTAAATGTAATTCTTTCTTCTCTCAACGAGGATGTATTTGAATATCTAAACACTAAGATCTCCATGTTCATTTCAAAATCCAAAAAGGTCAATGAAATACCAAAGTTGTTCTCTCTGGCATTTAGCAATAATGACGAAAGTCAAAGAGCAGGATTTTCTGCAAAATATACTCTATATAATGCCTGATTGATAGCCTACCTCAATACTTATCAAACTTGTATCGAGTACATCGAGAAACTCAAACAGAAGCTGGTCTCAGAACTAGATACTCTTTTAGAAGAAACTGAATGCAGTCTTGAAGAGTTCAAGCTAAACTTCAATAGCAGTCTTGAGGCTGAGGAGTACTTCCAAAAAGATATGTTCAATACCAGTCTTGATTTCTGTTCTGAAACCATCAAGCAGTTCAATTATGAGATTGAGGAGAAACTCAGCTTCTTGCACTCTCCTGATTTCTCAGAAGTTGTCAATAACTTGCTGAAAGAGTTAGCTAAGCTAGATCTGAATCTGGATGACAAAAAGTATGATGAATACGATGCAGATGATCCCTTCTTCCACAACTTCTGTAACGCCATTACTAAGATTATCTCTCAATGGAGTAGTCAACTAATGCAGGAGTTATTCGAGAAGTTTGTTAAGAACTTCACTGCATATGTTGCAAAGATGTTTCTGAAAACCTCTCTTCTGAGCAGTCCTCAGAAGCTGAGCTTCTACGGAGCTCTCTATCTTGACAAACTTGTCAGAAGTATGGTAAACTTCTTCCAATTTTTAACTAAGAAGCCGATCAGGAACGAGTTCGAGAAACCTCTAGAAGCAGTTCAGGTATTATGCTTCGAGAGCAACGAAGAGCTGGAGAACTACCTTGATGACCTAGACGATGGCAACAAGAAGTTGACCAAGGAAGAGGTCAACCTTTTGATCTTCAGAAGAACTGATGCTCACATCTTCAAATGTCTACAGTAATGAATAAAATTTTCAATTTTGTTCATTTCTCTTGGGGTTTTGGGGTTTTGGGGTTTTGGGGTTTTGGGG